ACTAATGCGTTAAAATGAAGTATGTTGTGTACTTGTTCCGTTTTGACCTTCGTTGTAGCTCAATTCACCTCATATCACATTTTTCAAATCGATTATATGATCAAATCTGATTTGGTGGACAGTCGAAAAACGTCCAAAATCACGACTATAATAGCCCGGGCATGTTCCTATTCGAACTTTGAACGTCGGGAGGGTTTGGGCGATTATCATTGAGTGCCTGCCGATATTTTGGCGAAGTATTTCGTTTCCAGCACATATACTTTAGGAATTAAGTCCACTGGACAGCAAATATGGCACTTTTTGTGAAATGCACCTTGTATGCGTGTATCTGGTTGACAAATGCAGGTGGAAAGAGCTGCGTCTTCGACTGTCGCGGGCTTTTAATCCATCCCGCGTGAAGATAGCTTTCAGCGATATGGCTACGAGTGCAGACTGCCTGGCTCACCTCATAGCGGGCAGCGAACCGGGCACCAGCCACAACGGCCTGCTGCTCGCCAAGCGGTACACGGCGCACGTCTCTGCCAGAGTCCTGTTCGGCATTGAGTCGCACAGTCTTGAGGTAGGAGTTGCAGCGACAGCAAGACACGAGAATGTTTATGAAAGGGAATAATAAACACTTCGCACCTTCACCCGCAGATTGGATCCCAGCCAGGTGTATTCTACGAAATGGGGCACAAAATATTCAATTGTGATTTCCTTCAAAATATACGATTAATGGTGTTCATTTACTACCGCCCACTGAGCAAACTAATCGGATACAAGTACGACAGAATTTATATACTGTAGCTGAAGGGCATGCTGAGGCACTGGCATACACGTCTGAAGGAATTTTCTCTTTTACGGTATCTAGCATCGTCAGCGAAAGCATAGTCGATTTTTTCCGAAAATTGATTCGCGATTCTGTGGAGTACCGGCACAGAGAAGGGGTGACACGGGAAGACTTCGTGGAACACGCCGCGAAGACCATCATGGTGGACGGAAAAGTCGGTGAGTATAGCATCGACAGCCACTCGCGTGTGATAGTGGGCGATTTGTGATTGAGAGCGGGTGTAAACTGCTGAAAGCCTTCGAAGCCGGCGAGAATTACCAAAAGTATAGCTGCTTTACAATTACATGTACAATGCAATGCTTTTTCTTATGCCTTCTTCTTTATGCCAGGCATATA